CAGAGGTTGAGGGAGCTGCTGCCCCCCCAGCCCAGCGGGTCTCTCCCCTCCGGACCCACCTGCGAGGAGATCTGTTGGAAGTACTGCTGGAGGGGGAAGAGGTGCCAGCCTTCCTCCAGCTTCAGGCTCTCGGGTCTGTAGAAGAACGGGTACATCATCATCACGGAGTCCACCGAGGAGAGAGCCTGGAGCAGGAGCACAGGGGGAGCTGGTCATCGGTGGGGAACAGGGAGATGGGCTGGGAATGTGTCCCCAGGGCTCTGCAAACCCCATCCCTGCTGCTGGCCACCTCCCAGGGAGGGCTGGGCAGGAGGTGCTGGCACCACTGGCCCCGCAGGGACCTCGTGCCAATTCCAGCCTGGAGCTGAGTGTTTACCCACGTTAATGACAGACCCAGAGCAAACACCACGGTGGCTGCTTTCTCCTGCCAACCCTTTGCACCCCAGCCCAGCTCTGGCCGGGCCCTCCAGCCCCTCACCTCGATGGAGCTGGCGATGTTGAGACACTCCTCCATGCCCGGGATCTCCAGCTGCAGCACCTTCAGGTCTTTGCAGCGCAGCGTGATGGTGCCGGAGGAGCTGGGCAGGCTGAGGGAGGCGGGAGGAGGGGGAGGACTGGCTGTAGGTCCGTGCACACAGATGGACACACAGCCAGGAGCTGAGCTGCCCTCTTCCCCACCCCGGAAAGCCAAGCCAGGCGAAGCGGGAGGGCTGGGCTGGTGTGGAATCGCTGGCTCTCACCTGGCACTGCCGGCACACCTCACCTGCAGGTGGGATTCCCACCATCTCCCTGCCCCGGTTGGGTCCCCGTGGGAGCTGTGGAGGATAGCACGGAGCTGGGGGGGTTTGGAGAGGCAAGAGAGTGTTAAAAGCCAAACCTGGTGTCTCGCGGGGAGCCGTTAGTCCGGGGGGGCTGATACCAGCTGAAATTCTGCACGCTGAGGCACGGAGGAGAAGAGGAGGTCAATGCCCGGCACCAGGAGCATCCCCCGGCGGGGGCCACGGGGAAGAGGAAGGACGGGGCTCCACGGGTGGGGTGGCCGAGCTCTGCAGCTGATGGGTGCGGGGAGAGCAGCAGCGAATCTGCTCCAGCTAAGGCAGGGGTGACGCCGCTAGAAGGGAGCAGAGGGAGGGACCCACCTCTTCTCCACAGCGTCCACGTTGCGGATGAGCAGCCAAAGCTCCAGGGTGCCGGGCTGGGCATCCCCCCCGGGGCAGGAGGAGAGGAGGAGGTGGTGGCTGGGGATGCACAGGGTGCCTTTCACCGCCGGCAGCCCCGCACAAGACAGCAGCACGTTTTCCACCGTCGCCGTCTTGATCAGCTCCGAGAACTCCATGGCGCTGCAGTCAGTCCCCGTGTGCAGCCCCTCGGCCGGACACAGGGATCTGAGGCTGGAGGGGAGAAAGGGGAAATCCTGCACGGCCCAGCCTGGAAACCCCGTCTTCCCTCTGCGTCACGCTGGGGCCCGACGGCCTCACCCACCCCCCTCTTGGTGTTTACATTGTCACCTCCAGCATATGGAGCTTCCTCACTGCAAAGCGCGGGCAGCGTCACTTATTTCCTCCCCCCGGCCGGGCTGTCAGTGCGTGTGGGGAAACTGAGGCAAGTGGCCTGGAGGAGCGGCTTGGAGCACCGCCTGCCCCGGCCACCCCTGGGCTTACCTGCTCAGACACCGCAGCAGAACCTCGGGGGGCAACTGGGGATCTCGGGGGGCAAGCAGAAGACCTCAGTGCTAACAGGGAATTGTGCATAAGCAGGGAATGTCAGCGTGCAAGGAGGGGATGTTGGGGATGCAGGTGGGGATCTTGGGGTGCAAGGAGGGGATGTTGGGGATGCAGGTGGGGATCTTGGGGTGCAAGGAGGGGATGTTGGGGATGCAGGTGGGGATCTTGGGGTGCAAGGAGGGGATGTTGGGGATGCAGGCGGGGATCTTGGGGTGCAAGGAGGGGATGTTGGGGATGCAGGCGGGGATCTTGGGGTGCAAGGAGGGGATGTTGGGGATGCAGGCGGGGATCTTGGGGTGCAAGGAGGGGATGTTGGGGATGCAGGCGGGGATCTTGGGGTGCAAGGAGGGGATGTTGGGGATGCAGGCGGGGATCTTGGGGTGCAAGGAGGGGATGTTGGGGATGCAGGCGGGGATCTTGGGGTGCAAGGAGGGGATGTTGGGGATGCAGGCGGGGATCTTGGGGTGCAAGGAGGGGATGTTGGGGATGCAGGCGGGGATCTTGGGGTGCAAGGAGGGGATGTTGGGGATGCAGGCGGGGATCTTGGGGTGCAAGGAGGGGATGTTGGGGATGCAGGCGGGGATCTTGGGGTGCAAGGAGGGGATGTTGGGGATGCAGGCGGGGATCTTGGGGTGCAAGGAGGGGATGTTGGGGATGCAGGCGGGGATCTTGGGGTGCAAGGAGGGGATGTTGGGGATGCAGGCGGGGATCTTGGGGTGCAAGGAGGGGATGTTGGGGATGCAGGCGGGGATCTTGGGGTGCAAGGAGGGGATGTTGGGGATGCAGGCGGGGATCTTGGGGTGCAAGGAGGGGATGTTGGGGATGCAGGCGGGGATCTTGGGGTGCAAGGAGGGGATGTTGGGGATGCAGGCGGGGATCTTGGGGTGCAAGGAGGGGATGTTGGGGATGCAGGCGGGGATCTTGGGGTGCAAGGAGGGGATGTTGGGGATGCAGGCGGGGATCTTGGGGTGCAAGGAGGGGATGTTGGGGATGCAGGCGGGGATCTTGGGGTGCAAGGAGGGGATGTTGGGGATGCAGGCGGGGATCTTGGGGTGCAAGGAGGGGATGTTGGGGATGCAGGCGGGGATCTTGGGGTGCAAGGAGGGGATGTTGGGGATGCAGGCGGGGATCTTGGGGTGCAAGGAGGGGATGTTGGGGATGCAGGCGGGGATCTTGGGGTGCAAGGAGGGGATGTTGGGGATGCAGGCGGGGATCTTGGGGTGCAAGGAGGGGATGTTGGGGATGCAGGCGGGGATCTTGGGGTGGCCCCCCGGGGGCCCCCGCGGTTCCGCGCGTGGTCCCCGTCCCCCGTCCCCCCCCCCTGCAGCCTCACCCCTTTTATTTTTCCTTCCTTAGGCTTTTTTTGGCACCCCCGGCCCAGTTGCGGGAGGTGATAAATCATCCCAGGACGTCCCGGTGAAGATTTCCTCCCCGGGAACAGGGAGTCTCCTCCCAGCCGGAGACAGTCATGCCAAAAAAGAAAAGAAAAGGACAAAAAAAAGAACAAAAATTACAACAAAACCGTCACGAACAAAATAAAAGAAACCCAAAGAACCCGCTCGTCTCTAGATAAGGAAAGTTCCTGCCCGTTGGAATCGTCCTCGGCGTCCCCAGCCTTTATTGTTCTGGGGGTGGATAAATAAATACCCGGGACTCAGCCGGGGGGTGCCCGTGGTCAGGGTGCTCCTCAACCTTGTGGGAGCAGCAGCTCCATTTGCACGAGGGCTTTGGGGGTGGTGGGGGAAAGAGACGTCGCCCCCAGAGTCTTGGGGGGACTACGGCGGGTGCCACCATGTCCTTTGGCCAGCTGAAGTTCAAGGAGCTGGGTGAGGAGGAGCCCACCTGGGAGGAGGAGAGCCTGGCCAGCGTCAAGGCTCTGACGGCCAAGCTGAAGCTGCAGACACGGACACCTTCCTACCTGGAGTGGGAAGCCCGGGTGCGGGGGCAGCCCTGGTGCAGCCGAACCCCCGGGGGGCCACAGGGGGTACAGCAGGGTCCTGGGCACCCCGAGGACAAGTGGGATGGTGGTATCTGCGGCTTTGCCACCATGGAGGAGGCTCTGGAGTGGCTCAGGACGGAGCTGGTGAGTAGCTGGTGGGATGTGGGGACAGGAGGGAAGGGCAAGGACTGAGCCCCGCGGTGGGGATGGGGCCACGGGGACCCCCCCCTGCAGAGGGGACCAGGGCTCCAGCCTCAGCGCGGTGCTTTGCTCCTTTTCCCAGCACAATCCATGTAGGTGAATTTTTGCAAGGCGTGTGTGGCTCTGCGGTGCCGCAGCTCTGCCTGTGTCCCCTGCCCGGTGCCGGGGGTGACAGTTCTGTCAGAGTCCTTCCCTTGTCACCCCCGCTCCTGCCTGCTCTGCTGGTGGCACAGCTCCTGGGGGCTTCACTGGTGCCGTGGCACAGTCACCGTGGCTTGCAGGGGGTGGCACAGCCACGCGGGTACTAACCCTGGGGCATCTGAGCTGAGCTGGGGCTGTCCCACCCGGCACAGACCCTGGGGGTGGGCTCTGTGCTGACCCCAGGGGGTCTGTGCCCTGCTGGCCGGGCCGTGTCCCCGCAGCCATTCCCACCCCATCCCTGCCTCCCTGCAGCGGGAGATGCAGGCTGTGGACCAGCGCCTGGCGCAGCAGCTGATGTGCCTGCGGGCGCAGCTGCACCGGCTGAAGGTGTAGCAGCCTTGTCACCAGCACAAGGAGATGCTGGACGACGCTACCTTCGGCCTCGAGGGATGTGAGGAAGACTCCGACCTGCTCTGCAACATCCCGCCCAAGGCTGCCTTCCTGCTCTCCACCCCGCTCAAGCACATCGGAGTCACCCGCATGAACATCAACTCCCGGCGGTTTTCCCTCTGCTGAGCGAGGTGGGACCTCTCAGCTCCAAGCCTGGATGGGACCATGGATCCTTCCTGAAGTTCCTCTGGGGCTGCAGAGCTGCTGCTGGGGCTGAGCTCCCTCAGGACAGGCGGTGCTGAGCTGTGGCCCGATGCTGTGCCACAGTGGTATGAGAAATGCCACTGTCCCCATGGGGCACAGGTTGTTTTGGGGCACCCAGTGCTCGGTCCCTAAGGATGGCAGGGTGAGCCCCAGTGGAAGATGTGTGGAGCAGCCCTTTGATGTGCAATAAAGGGAGGTGAGGGACAGAGCTGATGGTTTTTCCTTTTGTTGCATCCACCTACCTGCCCCTCCTGTTGTGGCTCTGGGCCCTTTGCAGTGGGGGACACGGGGGTGGCAGGGGGGACAGTGCTGCCCTTGCCCCTTCCACAGCTGCTCCCCGGGGCTCTGGCTCACAGGGTGGGCAACTTCTCACCAGTTTCTGCAGCAGGATGGTGCCATGCTGAGGTCACAGTGTCTCTGCTTCAGGAACATCATTGCCAGCTTGTCCCCAGGTCCCCAGCAGTCAGGGGGGTGCTGGGGTTGCACCCTTGCAGGAAACACTCGTCACCCAACCAGCTGTGAACCGAGGGGTTGTTTTGGAGGCTTGAGGCAGGGAGGTGCTGGGGGCTGTGCTCAGGGTTTGGCAGCCCCTGTGTCCTGCCCCATCCCCTGACCCCCTGCCCTGCTGCACTGGGGGTGAACGAGGGACCCCAGGGGTGGTGCCAGCCAGGGCTGGCAATGCTGCCCTCACCAGAAGGGTTTGCTTTTGGCTTTTTCTCTTCCTCCCTTCACCCCAAACCCTTCACCCCAAACCCTTCACAAAGTAAGTTGCTGCCTGGGGGAGGTGACTTTCATAGAAAAATTTCTGCATGGGGTGCTGGGGGAGCTGTGGGGTGACCTAGGGATCATTTTGGGGGTCTGCTTCTCCTGCCCAGGGCAGCAGCAGGGCACGGGGAGAAGCCCATGTGCACCCCAAGGCTGTGGCACAGCCCGGGGCCTGGCAGTGCTCCCCACCACCCCTTGCTCAGGGTACCTGTGGTGTTGGGGAGCACGATGGGGAGGGGGTTGGGACGTGTCCCTGCCAGGGTGGGTGCTGCGTCCGGTGCCACCGCTGTGGTGTCCCCCCAGCTGCCACAGCCCCCCCCGCACAGCTGGGCCTCCTGCCTGTGCCTTCGCCGCGTCA